GAAGCCTCAATCTATATTGTAAATTTATTAGTTTTTTGTTGCTAAGAAACCATCCCTGCTTTGCCTGGTCAGAGTTTTGTTGAATAGTCATTGATTACATCTGCAATTGGTCATTCCATTCTTAATTTACCTTCTGGGATCTCTCAAAAGAATAAAACCATCCATTATTTAGGATTTTCGACGGGTATTTCTTCCCCTAATATTCCTGTTTTTTGAAGAATTTTACAGTAATGTTTTTTTCCGTGTCTATTTTCAGGACTGTTGTTATATCAAATTAAAAACTAATTTCCTTTCAGATAAAACTTATTTCTCCAGTGAAGTGCAATCAATCAGGTAATGAGAAAAGTTCTTCAGAGTATCTTGTAGTAAAAACAGAACCAGTGAATAAACTTATACCAAAGCTTTATTGCACTTTACTGTGACTACTCGTCTACAGACGGGTTTTACAGGGTGCTTTTTTTTATTTCCTAGATCTTTAGGGGAGATAACTGATGCGTACATATCCATTCCTTTTTTTTTGTTTTTGGGTCTTCAATAACGTTTCATCCGACCCATTCTTCGAACATCTTAAGATAATAGAAGAATTCTGTCTTTTTTTCCTGTAGTGACACCAACAGAGAAAAAAATTCCTTTCTTTCCGTACCTGAAGAAGTCCGAAGCAAGCAAAATGTGATAATGTCAAAAACATGCAAAATAATGAGATCAATTGGCTGAAGAACTCTTAGAATGCTGGCGTCTTTTTATGTTCCATTGAAAAATGTATCTTATATAATAATAACACCATACTCGGAAGCAATACTTCGTTTAAACTTGTTTTATTAAACAGGACAGACAAGGGATTATTTGTTGAACTTTTTGGCGAATTTTTCCTCGTGAGAATTGATATCGGGTGTAAAGAAACTTACCGAAATTGTTTGTGTTGTTCCGTTATTTACAACCATATTTTCGACGATATATATATATATATATATATATATATATATATATATATATATATGTGTGTGTGTGTGTGTGTGTGTAAGCAATAGTTTTCACAGGGCGCAGAGACACAACACTCTGATCCAAGACATAAATGTCGAGTTGTGACACTTTCATCCTATGCATAACGCACAGATATTCTAAACCTAAACAGAAGTTCCAATCCATGCGTAAATAATTCCCTCATTTTTTATGGATAAAATGTTAGTTATACGAATAAAAACGAACAAAGTCTTTACTTATATATTCACGAATTGAAGTAACTTTGGCGCATGGTTACATTCCAGGAGGAAGCGCTGCAACTTCTTCGTCTTGATTTAAAATGTTTAACAGTTTGATCTTGCAGATTATAACCGGGTATCCTAGGTTAGTGGATCTCGAATTAAGCTTTGCAGAATGATTAATAATACAAAACTTTTCGATCTGTAGTGGTTGTTTTTAAATACTTGCTACTATTATTGTCCTATATCAGTCAATCGTGTATTTATAAAGAGCACAATATTCCTGTATATATTGTTGGAATTACAACCGCCTTTATTTTTCAACATCAACCTTTTTGCATACACACATTATTCTGTTCCCACTCCTATATATGTTACGGTCTGGTATTTATTTATTCTTTTGTCATCTATACATTAAGCCATTGTGTTTTTTCTTCTCGAATTGTTCATATGTTCTCTACTAAAAGACGCTTTCAGCACTTTTCGGAGTTGTATAAGGTTTCTTTGGTAGGTTATCTTTTTTTTTTAGTTTGATCAAATGCAACAATCATGGCTTCTAACAAAAACGGAATCAGATGTGAATCTCTTTCGTTCTCTCTTGTTCATTCTGTCTATCTATGGACGCTTGTTGAGAAAGATCATTAGACATTCAAATATGTTCTTTTGGAAAAACTTAGCGTAATTCAGTATTTGTTATATTTATTAACAAAGAAAACTCTGTGCGTTGCAGGGACACCATACAGAGAATAAAATTCATAAATGAAATGAGTAGAAATGTGTTACAGTACACGCATTCGTTTTGATACATCATATTGGCATCGCGTTAAATTGTTACAAAAATATATTATTTTAACATGTACGTAACAAATAAATGATTGTAATCACAATAGCAAATTGCTTTTTTTTATTTACTTCTCTATACCTTTTGATTCCAGTCTGAAGACAAATATTTATTTTGAATCACTCTAAATTATTTCATAAACAATAAATATAACACTAATGATGTGTATACTGTGTGTTATTTTTATTTAAAAAAAATGCGACTGATTTGAAAGTATTTACAAATATCCTAATATAAATTTATTCATTGTTTTAGAAAATGTTTCCAGCAATATCTATATCTGTCAGATATAGCGATTGCAATGTCGTACATATTACAGTCGAAGAAAAAAAAATTGCATTATATAGGGAAGTAATTCTTAATTAAATTCTTTTAAGAAACAACTTTTTTTTTACCAAATTCTATTTGTATCGAGTTTTCTATTTCATTTTTTTCAAACTCGTCTGTCAAGGTGTCATGTAGCTTCGTTAATTTGGCTTGATAACTGTAACCGAGAAAAAATGAACTAGCTGTAATCTTTCACGTCGACTTCTTGTTTTCCTTTACATAAATACAGTCTCTTCTATTCTGTCATATTGCTAGTCATTTTAAACCCATTGTTGTCATTTCACGGCTATTTAGTGAAGTCGAGAAGAAATGACGTGCAAGTCTCTCTTCTTGTAATCATTAAAACGCATCTCTCAAAAAGAGGGAAATTGCTGAGTTATCATTTTGTATGCTCCATGCCAAAGGCTACCATAACATAATTATCCGTGGCAGACTTTGAGGAACAGGAAGCAAATATGTTATAATATTATGACCGAGTAGGCGGTTGACTAATGGGGAAATCCTCATCACACATTTTATGTTATCTAACATCTGTACCCATTACCATCCATCGGGTGTGGAGCAACAACGTCGGGTGTAGGTGTGATCACTGTCTGCTTCGTATTTTCTAAAGCTGGGTACTAAAAAAAGTGCTGTAATAGCATCTGCCGTTAACTTAGAGATCGCAACGTTTGCGTTTTGTCTTGTTTAGATTTCAACGTTCAAAATGTTAGGCATATCCTGAAGGTAAGAGGAGATGTCTACGGACACTGTTTGGATTTGGGCGGGAGTTAGTGAACGAAAAAATGTCTAAGGGGAGGTCTTTAGTTATGTATGTAACTATGTATGTATATTACTCTATTTATAACTATCTAGAACATACGTTATAGAGTCGAGTGTCGTGAATTGGTTTTACAATACAGTGATACTGATTTTTTTTATCAGTTCACTCCAAGCAAGGCGGGGATGCCACTAGTACGCAGAGGTTACAGTGAGTGAAAGTGAGAGGAAAGAGAGGATTGAGGAAAGGACAAAAGATGAACGGGATTCGAGAAGACAGAAGGTGGCGATTGATGTTGCATCGTCAGATCGAGATTTTCATATGGATGCCACGCATGGTGCCAAAGTCATTTAGAAATATCTAAACTGTCGGTTGTATACAACCACTTTGTCAGATCGATGTTTAAAAATGGCTTCTTCGAATCTCGTGGACTTGCTTTACAGAATCATAATCAAAGAACTGAATCATAATAAAAGAAAGTGGATCATAAAGAACTGAATCATAATCAAAGAAGTGGATCATAAAGAAATGAATCATAATTAAAGAAGTGGATCATAATTAAAGAACTGTATCATAATGAAAGAACTGTACCAAAATAACATTTGAGGACTTTCAACAGCAACTACAATTAGAGAGAAGGGCAACCTTGAATTCAAAACCGGTTCGTAGTTGGGTTAGCAACTGAACTCTTAGTAAACCAAATTTCAATAGAAACTGCAAACGGCAACGCCTAGCGTATCGATGCTGTGGCCCTATACTCCTCAGAGTCTACAATATGGAAATTCCGGCTACACTCGTTTTCCGAGCTCACCAGTCTGCTACATACGGCTGGCCAATCCCTGTCGCTGACACCTACTCAGGAACATTTGTGGTTTATACTACAACTATGTTGTGCTAACCATAGTTCTTTAAAAGAGAGCCCATAATCTGGTATGTAGAGCAGTTTGAATATGTGGCTCGCATGCAAGCACAGCCATTGACGGATTTCGAACAGTTCCGTTCAACTAATTTCACACAAAATGCTTGAAGTATATTTTCCAGGCACTTTCCAAATTTGCCGCACTCTGGGATCGTCTCTTCAAACGCATAACAGCAATAAATCACCTTCCTGACAAATCGACTTTGATATGATTCGAACCCGGGCCACATAGTCGGAATATAAACTTTCTAAACACTCGGCACACGCGTGCGCGCATCCCCACACACACATATATATATATATAAGGTCAACACATTGAATATTACATTCTAGCACAAAACACAGTTGTCACTATTGTCCACTTTTGTCCACACGGTTTGTTCCTGATGTTGACTACTTTTACTCATAAATATAAAAATATTTTTTAAAATATATATTTTATATATATATATATATATATATATATATATATATGTGCATAGTACGTCACATAATTGAGAATTTTAATTTTTATAATTTAATACTGAAGTAGGCATTACAAAGAAAAATGCTAAGTTAATCAAATGAAAAATCAGTATATTTCGATGGCCTCAATGCACCTTCCAAATTTATTTCATGCCTGGATCAAGTGATCCTCGTTCATGTTCTTCAAGGACCACTGAGTATTTTAGGCTTGACGACAATCGATTGATTGAATGATTTATTCGTTTTCTCCGGTTTATCAACCCTTTTTTGGTTATTTAAAGTCAGAAAATATTCTTAGATTGTAAGTTTTTTTATATAATAATCCGTTAGTGATACCAATTAACTCATTCCTGGGGGTGGGGCGGAGATGAGGTGAATGGTGGATTCATACTTTTGCCTAGGATATTTTCGCGTAAATGAATATTACGAACCCGGCTCTCTGATTAACAATTCCGTGCTATTATCAATTACACAACTCGCACATCCAAGCTTACAACACCTTTTATTCCGAAGCGGTCACTCATCTAGGTATTGACCAGGATCGACGTTGCTTAACTTTGGTGATCGTATGGTAACTGGTGTTTCAACGTGATGTGACAGTAAGCCTTCGCCGGCAACCGAATGTGTACCAAAGGTGTTGTAATAAAACTACAGCAATAAGATGGCGTGTAGTGACAAAATGCTAGTAATAATGAAAACTCATCCCTGTGTTGCGATGAAAATCAATAGTTATAAGATGGAGTTATATTATTAATAAAAATATCTATTAATGAAACAATGAAGGAAAATATATATAGCCGAGTATATTAGTATCGCATACACGCACACGCACATATATAGACATAGGAACATGCTGATTTATACATATATGTATAGATGATCATGCGATCTTGCACATGCGCGTCTGCAACGCCCAAACGTTTATTTGGACAGATTCTGCCATTTTGCTTACAAATGTGGGCGGCATTAGTGATCTTTATTTTTTTTTTTAGTGCACCGGATCTGCAACATGTGTGAGCTGGGTTCTACAATCTCCAGCCGACACATTCCATTCCTTGTTAGCGATATCACTGCCTACTTCTTAATTCACCTTTTCTCTCTCTCTCGTTTTTTTTTTTTTTTGTTCCCTCCACCTCCGTTTGTTGGATTCAATAACGACAGTCACCATAACTATATGCATATCTTTGAACATACAGATTAATTTCTTTTAGGGTTTTCTCCTTTTTCTTTCTTTTTTTTTTCTTCACCAAACTCTTTTTCTCGCTCTATCTTCGATTTCCTCTTATTCCCAGACTACTTTCTTTCCTTTTCTTTCTACTCTTCTTACTTTCTTAGCTGCCAAGTTTGCTTATTTTGTTTACCTTATTCCCTGTAACTTCTTTCGTGGCCATGTTCTCTTGTTCATTCGCTTTTACCTCTTTTTCGTAATCTTTCCTTTTCGTGACATTTTCTGCTGTATTTTCTCTTCAAATTCCACCAAATTAGTGCTGCACTCAAGCCTCTATCTGATTATTATTATTATTATTATTATTATTATTATTATTGTTATTAAAAGTACTAAGTAACTGAAACGACACCAATTTAGGACAGTTATCAGCAACAACTAAAATGAATAGCACATGTAACTCAAATAGAAAATAATGACATCATCAAGATATTGACTTTCCACACGGCCTTAAACAAAAGGTTAGGAAAGAAACTCATATCAGCATTAGAAAGATCGATAACAATTAGTGGACTTGAGAAACTTATTTTCCTGAAAAGAACTGTTTTAATATTTTACGAATTTCAACTGACAGTAATGTTAACTTCGGTCAATGAGTACCGAATGATCCTTTATGAAGGAAATGCTAACCTTAGTACGACAGTGGCGTAAGTTGGCGGAAAATGTTAACCTCAGTAGTACCATTATGATAGTGTCGCAGGTTGACGGAAATGCTAACCTCAGTACTACCATTAACAGAACTCTCCAAAAAATAGAATTGACAAAGTTTGCAATAACAAGAAAAAGAAAAGAAAAAAAGAACCGGGAAAAATAATATAAAGCAAGCAAACAATATATTCAAGGCAAATTAACAGTAGTAAGGCAAAACAACAGTAATATGACAAAAAATTCACAAACTAATAATTGGCGTTGAAAGACAAAAGCGAACGTAAAGTTTTGACTTCAAGACAAGACAGATCGGGACTTAGTTAGATGAAACCGCGAACCGATCTATTTTATTGGATAGGAAATTATCGCAGCATAAATTTGTGTGCTTCTACCAATAGAAGGGGAAGGGAAAGTGTTTTGCAATTATTCCCCAGAAATTAAAACCAACAGATTCTTTGTTTACAGTGTCGAAGTTCTTGTTAAGATCTACGAAGACCTGAAACAGGCCTTGTTATTCATTCGAATTCTCTTAGATTTGTCGTACTGTGGAAATTATATCCATCGTTTCAATAATAGGCCCGAATGCACATTGTGTCTCTGGCCACATCGAAATAGCAAAATTCCTATTAGGATTTTATCCATTCACAAAAGTAAACCTATACCATGATAATGACAACATAGTTTCATAATAACTTTGCCTTTGTACAATTCTATAACAATCATATCTTTGAAAGGCTTCCAGCATTCATGATGTTCAGGATGATTCTATACATTATATCAACCAACTGATCACCAACCGACGGATTTTAGCAAAGATGCAGTCTTCTCCGGTAGCATTTCCCATGTTCAATTTGGTGATACTTTTACTTCCTCCAAGGTAACAGGATCCTTGATAGATTCCTCGACAGTTCTTTTCTGAGGGTAGTTAAGGGCTGATTGGTCCACATGACTATCCCTCTTCTTAAGCTGGTCCGAAAATGTTTTTCCATCTTTTACTGATTTACACACACACACACACACACACACACACACACACACACACACACACATATATATATATATATATATATATATATATATATATATATATATATATATTGAGAAAGAATTGTGAAAGAATAGACATGAAAATAAATTTAAGTAAATTTCAAGTTTTATCGTTCATACGCCTGAAACTTTTGTATCAAATGTTTGATTTCGAAAATAGCACATTTTAAAATTTAGGTGCAGTTTATTTAATTATTAGCATTTTTTTACATTTTATTTGAAATAAAAGTAAAGGAAAGAAATTTAGTAGCTTAAAACAAAACAAAAACACACATGTTAGACGTGGTGTTCAAACTAAAGAACCCTGGCAAAATTTCTTGGTATTTTTTCAGTCCTCAAGTTGGATGTTTTTTCTTAAAGAGAACAATCATCTCGCGTTGAACATTTGATAACTGCGGCATCTTGGAACAATAAATGGTTAAAAAATTTATATGTTAGTTAATTTTACTTCATTCATATAGTAAAATATATAGTTATTGTTTTATGTTAGCTATTTTTTTTTCATCACGTAGTAAATCTAAAATTTCCTGTTTTTTGTTGGGCATCCTGTAGAAGAATTTTTTTGCACATTTTTGGCACAAAAAGAATCTAATGGCCTCTCTTTTTGTTTAAACCAATGAAAATGTCGCTTCAGCTGACTTTTCCAAGTAAGAAGCTTTGCTTCAATTTATTTTTAAGTCTTCATGCCTGCAAGCATATTGTTTATGCTGTCAGCCAACTACCCAAGCCATAGAATATATATATATATATATATATATATATATATATATATAAAACAAAGGTGGGTAATTGAATGACAAAAATGGAAAGAAATCTTTTGTAACACGTTTCATCCTCCAAAAGAACTTCTTCTGACTGAATAATATCTTTATTGATTGAATTGTATATATGTAGGGGTAGGAACGAATACAAATAAGCGTCGGTTATAATTAAACACTAAAAATACAGAGAAACTTAATTTTAAATTTCTGGTGTCCAATGTTTCTAGATGCAATCCACTAAGCTTCTTAGTGCTTTTGGTTTTATTTCTATCGCTGTTGTTTTTAAATATTATTATTTAGTTTGAAGAAATTAGGAGTTATTCTATTTTATCATTCAATTACGCCCATTGGTCTGATATATAGTTGACATATTATATCACACAAATATGTAGAGAAATAAGCTGAATTGTTGTGATTGGCTATTTTCGACCGAGCTGAAAAAAATCTAATTTCCGTATACACTATATTGCTTGTTTGTTCCTGATTAAATGCAAATGCAAACAGAATTGCGATCGATCAAACTCTGACAGTTACAACAGAGTTCTAGAAGCAGAATTCACCCGACAGCGATTGCTCTACGGTGACGATGTAATTTGTAACTCATTACTTGCCATCATATTTAATAAGCTATATACAATCTCCAAGCGCTTCATTGCTTTTTCCTTCTCTCACGAGAGGCTTACTGAAATCAGAGTCCATTCGTTATTACATTGTTAAGGAGGCCAAGAGATCTCGGCTTAAACTTCTTAGTCAATAGCAACTTCGAAAACGTGGAAAATAAAGGTGTATAGGTGTGACGTCGTCCCCCAGTCGCAGCGCCAACTGTGACGTTCTATCCTGATCTACCACGGCGCCAGTTGTGACGTGGCCGTTCCAGGGCCCTATCCCGGTCACGACACCAGTTGTGACGTCCCTAAACAGCACCACCAGACGTCTTCGCCGCGGCGCCAGCTGTTCGCTCCTCGCTGCTCCGTCCGGGTGTCGCTGCTCCAAACGTGACGTTCGCCTGTCGCGTCAGTCGTGTTGTCTCGTACTGTGACGACCAACTGGCTTGGTATCGGTCGCGGCACCCAAATGTGACGTTCTAACCTTTTTGGTGATTCGGGTGGGGAATCTGGTTAGATTTGATGTCAGCCTCGCCGTTCCCAACTCGCTTCCAACGCCTGGTTACCAAGGTAACTGCACTGATCTCCAGTCTGCCTACCCACGTTGTGAATTGATCATAGACAGACGAGATCAAACAGGGGTTAGGGCCGTAATGCAAATTGAGTTCAACGGGGGTGATAACACACAAATATGCATAAAAGAAAAGAAAATGAAAACTCAAAAAGTTCAAAGTATCAAAGAAAAAGGTAACAAACTTTATGTCTAGTTGTTCGATACATAGGACTGCATCTATCTCCCGACCCGTTCTGTGGATTGTGACACGTCGCTTTCGCTAGGCAAGTTTTAACGCTTCAAGTTGCTTGCTCTCTAAGAAATTTGTGTTCGGTGTGTCTTTGGACGAAAGTCGAAAAACTTATTTCTGTGGTCTGGTTCTAAGTCGCTCTTCAAAATAATTGTTCTTGGTTGAAGAGGAGTCCAAAATTTTGCGTGAATCTTGGTCAGCTATCTTGGTCTATCATCTCTGTCGCCAGGGCCGAACGAACTGTCTTCTGCACGTCAGGGTCCGAACTAACTTTCTTCTGCCCGCCAGGGTCTGAACTAACTCTCTTCTGCCCGCCAGTGTCTGAACTACTGGGCACTCATCTCTGCCGTCCGGGACTGAACTGAACTTCTGCCCGCCAGGGTCTGAACGAACTCTCTTCTGCCCGCCAGGGTCTGAACTACTGGGCACTCATCTCTGCCGTCCGGGCCTGAACTAACTCTCTTCTGCCCGCCAGGGTCTGAACTGATTTCTGCCTGTTGGGGCCTCCTTTTTATTGACGCCGTCAAAAACCGGGTTGGGTCTGTTGGCGTCGGGGAGTTCCTCGATAATTCTAAATACATATCCACCTCTTTTATTTCTGGTTAGGGATTTTCCACTCTTTTCCATTTTTGGTAACTTTTTTTTTCACTCCCACTTTCTCACCATGCTTCTGAGGGGCGTGAACTGCCCTCCCCACTTCTTCGTAGCGGCTTCTCATACTTATACTCTGGATGGGGGCGTCGACAGTCTTCTTCGTGCGTCACGTGATCACTCTCGGCCAATGAGGTCTTGGTCGGGTATCTTTCCTCCTCCTTCGTGCGTCATGTGATCACCACTTGACCAATGACGTCTTAGTCGGGCGTGAACAAACCGCGGCTTTGTTTTGGAAAAGAAATACCTTGCTTAACTAAAAAAAATTAATTAAATCGCCGTTATCATGAACGGATAATATGACAACTCTTTGTTCAACACGTGGCGTTTGTCAAGCAGTTTATCGCTAATTCATCAGACGGCTGGTTTTCCGACATGGTCTCAGAAAAGAATTTTCTCCAAGTTTTCAGTCAGTCTGAGGTCTCCAAGGCAGAAATAAAAACATTTCTTATTCCATTCATTTTCCTTCGGTTCATGTGTCTGATAACAAAATTTTATTATCGCAGGGCAAAAGTCTGTTTTGTCGAAAAGAGCTTAACTAGCGAGACGGCTTGGGTGGGATTTTAATTTTCCATATCCAGCTAAGGCTCCAAGCTACACCTGCGTTTTGTCAATTATCAAAATCTAACGTTTTCAAGTGGACTTTCTTTGGCGAACATTTCTTGATAACACAATTCCATTCGTGCAGGCCAAGTGGAAAATCGGTCAATGATTGCTCGCCGGTGGCCTGTGTTTTGATAGTAAGATGCCTTCTCGTACCAATAGTTTAGATAACACTTTCCCACCCACCCAATCTCATTGTCATTGTAATGACACTCCTTTCGGCATTTGCCACTTATCCAAAATAACCCTTTTTTTTTTTATTGCCTCTTAAGCCGTGTGTGTGTGTTCGCCTATGATCCGTCTCGCATTACTTTTTCCCTCCTTTCTTCTTTTCTTTCCTTTTCCCTTTTTGCCTTTCTTTCTCTGCCTGGATGCATGGTGCCACATAGGAATAACGAAAGATGTCTTCTATGAAACTAAGCAAGGGATAAGAAAACAACCTCAGATGAAGAAGAAGCTCGAGGTGACAGGAATATGGAATTATCGACCAATGATAAGATAGACATGAATGTTAGCAGCAAGGAAATTTTAAGGAAAATTATACTTTTAATCCGAAAGAGACACTTAGCATTTCTGATACGCAAAATGGGAAAGAAAGTACATAGGATTTAATAATCAAATGACATATTGAAGTCAAACAGCGAGTAATCTACTTAACAAGGATGGTAGAACAATGACAAAAGATATTGTAAAAGGCGAAAAGATACTTAGAGCAACAAAAGACAGAAAACTGTGGAGAACTATAATCGCTCCCGTCCTAAGGTACATAAAAGAAGTCTACTGAATGAGATGTTTTTATTACTTTTAACTCACATTGATTTGTTATAAGAACATAGATGTAAATTTAATGTAGATAATATAGCGATTAAAGCACTTTCTATACATTTTCGTTTTAGTAAATTACTTTCTTTTTTAATTAAAGTAGCATTTTTTAATTAAAAAAAAATATGGCCAGACCCCATATGATGAGCAACTAATGCGCGTGTTGTTTTGTAAAAGAACTCTTTTGTGTTCAATATAACTTTTATTTGAATTCCTTAAGGAATCTCTTATGTATTCCTTGTGGCAATTATTACAGGTAATAGAGTAAATCCCTCTTTCATGTTTTAGCTTATTACTTTCTTTTTGTATTAATTACGATTTTATTGTTTTAAAGGTAGTTGTAACAAATTTTATGTTAAACTTCTTTTCAATTGTGCTTGTGATAGATTGGGGGGGGGGGTAGAACAATATATTTTGATTAGGAGAATGGTCAAATTTTCTATTTTGAAATATTTGTTTCTCGTTAAATATGAAATAATGAGGATATTGGAGGTGGGTAAAAGTATTTTCATCGTATTTATCCTCTTCATCTAAGTATTTCCTAACATTGCTCTGGTTTGTAAAAATGTATATATTATCTTCTCTCTTTCTCTCTCTCTCTCACCCTCACACACGCACATACACACACACATGCACAAACATTTTATTTATAGAAGAAGAGTGCGCTAAATATCGGTCGATACGGATGTATAAACATCTTATTTAAAAACTGGCAAAATATAATAAGAAGGCTTATAAGGGTCACTCGAGGGTTGTTTGTCAACGTTCTCTGTTGAAAAAGTTGTAAATAACCCAGGCCTGACCAATGGAGAACTTTTTCAGACACATTTTAGAAACAACTGTGTCTATTTCGAGAATCTGTTTAATGAATATTTCGCATAAATGTCAACCACTAACTCTTCCAGTAAATCTACGCAGTTTCTATTTACTTTTAAATTATCTTCCAAAGAAAATAATTATAGCTATATTCAATAGCACTGAATAACAATATTTGAAAAGGGGATTTCCTTCGAGATGAAATGTTCTATATATGATTTTGTAAAGCTGTATTCAAATATGACAATAAGAATTACTCGTTTACGCTATTTACAATGTTCGAATTGGTATCCTCATATTTGTTGTCATATTCACAACGTTTCGGCCGTTGTACGCTCCGGACTTCTTCAGGATTATGAAATTTCGAACCGAACCCTTTATTTCGTCCACCGGGGTAGATTGTTCTAGTTTCACGTGCCATGCCTCTTCCGGATATTTAAGTTTCAGTTTTTTTCCCTTTAAATCACCTCTCCAAGTTTTTGTTCACCTCTGCTGTCGCCAGGTATTGAACTCACAACTCTTTAGATCAAGTCACTGGATTACTTCAACCAACACTTTTGTCGCCCACTGAGCCATGTGTTCTTGAAGAAGGCTGGATCATAAAACGCCCGAAACGTCGTGAATATGACAACAAAGATGGAGACAACAGTTCGAACATTGTAAACAATGTAAATAATTACAATGCTTCATCTCAGAAATATAGGCAGGAATTACTCGTTTCCAAAATATATACATTTTTATGTTTTATGTACATTTTGTCTATAGTGTGCATAACATATTTTCAATCATAATTTGTAAAATTATATTCTTGTTTAACATCTTCAAAGGAAATTATTAACTTCAAATTTTTAATTATTTATTTATTCGTGTTTTTTCGGCATTTTGACATCGTGTGGGGTAGGTTTGGTTGGTTTTAAGTGTGTAAAGATGAAATTCGCATCAACTCGAGGTTAAAAATGATCAATAGAAAATAACCAATCATTAAACAAGTTAACGTTCTGAAGTAGAAAATTATATGTGAAAATATTTAAATTACTATATAAATAAAATAATAATAAAACATACATCAGCTATAGTTGAAGACAAATGTCATTAGAAAATGAGAGAAGGCAGGGAAGAGAGAGAGAGAGATGGTGAAAGAGAGGGAAGAGAGAGAGAAAGATGTAAGTGAGAGAAAGAGAAGAAAGAAGATAATAGAGAAATGGAAGAGATAGATGAAAAAGAGAGAGAAAGGGAGAGAGAGGGGGGAGAGAGAGAAAGAGAGAACAAGGAATAGAGAGAGAGTTGAAGCAATAGAGAGCGGGAAGAGAGAGAAAAAAGGGGCAAGACAGAGAAAGAAAAGAGAGAAAGGAGGTAATGTAGAGAGAGAAGAGGAAATAGTGAGACCGATGAGTAAAGAGAGAAAGAAGGAAGAATTAATAGAGAGAGATGAGAGAAGAGAGTGAGAGGGAAGAGAAATGCTCAAGAGAGAGAAAGAGAACAGAGAAAGCGGTAATAGATAGAGAGAAGAGAGAATAGAGAGACCGACGATGGAAGAGAGAGAAATAGGCAAGAGAGAGAGAGAGATGAGCAAGAGAGAGAAGGGATAGGAGGTAAGAGAAGAGAGAGAAATGAAAGAATAGAGAGAGAGAGAGAGAGAGAGAGAGAGAGTTGAATTAATTCATAATTTCTTTCTTTTTATTTGCTTTTCCAGTTCTGGGAGGTCATCTCAGATGAACACGGTATTGATCCAACCGGCACTTATCATGGCGATTCTGATCTCCAGTTGGAACGCATCAATGTTTACTTTAACGAGGCTACTGGTATGTAGTTCTTTACTTGCTTTAATGATCCAACTATGAAACAATTTAAAAAAAAAATTCGGTTTGAATATCACAAATAACTGTTTTAAAAAAAGACAACAGTTAGAAGCAAAAAATTATGAGTAATTTATGAAAAGTGAATTTTTCCCTTCAAAACTGTGAATTGCTTTTTAAGAACTTAGAATAGAATTTGAAATCATAAACGAAAGCTATTTCTCAACATTAATTTTGCAAAAGCAACCCAGTGTTCTTTTATGCACTTTTTACTTGATTTATTAAAATCTTTTTAAAAGTTCTTGTAAACGCCAAATGTCATTTTTTTCAGCTATTAAGTGTTCTGTTAGAAATAACAAAATCTTACAGTTGGTCCCATCTCAATGAAAATCATTTTAAAAAAATATGACCACGCAATAATTTGAAAAAAAGTTTTACTTTTCCTCCAAATATTTACAATTTTTAATTCGTTTATTTTAGTCATTTTAATGTTTGAACAAAACCCTTTTTTCTTTTTTTCATAGGAGGGAAATATGTTCCTCGAAGTATTCTGATTGACCTGGAACCTGGTACCATGGATTCTGTAAGGTCGGGACCATTCGGACAAATATTCCGACCAGACAACTTTGTTTTCGGTGGGTGACAATAATCAACTGAATTAGTCTCTTTTATTTTTCAATTTTTGTATGTAAAAGCAGTTTATCCTTAAGTATATTTTTGCGGATTAGTTAAGAACACTTTTTGCCAGTTTTCTCTTTACACAATATATGATGGGAATAGTTATAAACAAGCTCGGTGATATCTATAGATAAAGCGCTGTACTTGTCTAATTGTTATTTACATACTTCGGACTGTTGTCCTCATCTTTATTGAGATATTCATGACGTTTTTTATCCACTGCGTGTCCTTGAGGACATATGGCCCAGTGGATAAAAACGTTGGTTGGATATAGTGACTTGACCAAAAGAGTTGTGAACCCAGTACATGGCTAATGCAGTAGGGAACAAAAAATTGGAAGGAGAGTTAAAGGGAGATAACTGAGACATCCAGAAGAGGCAAGGCACGTAGAACTAGAATAATCTACCCCGGTAGACGAAATAAAGATTTCAGTTCGAAATTCTAATCACCTGAAGAAGGCTGGAGTGTACAACAGCCGAAACATCGTGATTATGGATTAAAGATGAAGGCAACAGTCCGAAGAATGTAAATAATGTAAATAATTACAATACTTCATCTCAGAAATATAGACCAATCCTTTACCGGTCTTATAACGAGGAACAATATTTAATATATTTAATTGTGTTGTTCCTTTGATCTGAACTCTGGTCTTTGGTTTAATACCGTTTGTTGTCTTTGTATTGGTCTATGATTTATAATTCATGTTTTGCTGGAGACAGATGTGTGAAATATAATATGATCTGGATAGGATAACTCTTAAGTTGAAATATTTCTTTTCATCAGAAATTTGCGATTTAATATGCAAGAATTTCAAAAATTAAAAAATATGAATTAAACCAATATCCCCAACTTCTTCAAGCTGGTGTCATAATAATTCAGATGAATTAGCTATTCTTTCGTATCAAGAATCGTTCAAAAATAAAAGTGAACGAAAAAGAACATCTCTCTAATAGATTATGTTGGAAAAGAAAGAAAAAGAAAATGTCAAAACTGGATAAATATCTTTCAGTGTTTGTATATTGCTAGTTCCGTAAAACTTGCAACTGTTTTATTGACAAGTTTTATTTCAAATGTTCATGTAAACAGCAATAAATAAATAAAAAATAACAAACAATAAACAGATTAAATAAAACCTACAGTTCAAAATTTCCTGAAGATTATTTGAAACGACAGACACCCAAAGAAGGCTGAAGCGCACAACGATCGGAACGTTGTGACAATAATAATAAAAAATAGTCAGAATGTAAGTAATGTGATAACTCCTCTTCCGAGAAATTCAGACAGAAATGACAATTTCACTGGATCTGACAACTCAAAAGAACTCTTGAGGCAGCACTGTTTTTCTTTGATCAGTTTCTACCAAAATATTTCGGATGAACGAGTGTGGGCTGGGAGCTGTGATTTATGACTTTTCCAAGTTAAGCTGACCGGAGAAGAGTTCAAACTCCATAAAAGAGGAACCACTTTTCCCGGTAGCAACAGGCAGCCCGATCAGTGCTACGAGGAATGAACACTATCTAGCAGACCAATTTTCTAAACTCTAGTAGGATCTGAAACAGATAAGTAAACCAGAATTATTCCTTTAACCGTTTTTGCCGTCCTGAGTCTTTGATAACGGGGTCATTTTTTGATCACGCCATATTTTTTGCATCGAGCCGCAGCGACCACCCAAGAAGCGGCATCTAAAAAGTAATCAGTTGGTGGTCCTAGGCGAAAAGCTACAAAATAGTTGAGGAAAATGCTAAGTAACCAGTACGATAATTAGAAAAACATATCAATACAAATTGATGAACTTGTAAAAGTGTCTAAACTTGGTCAATGAGTTCCTCGTCGTCTGACTGCTACTCAGATTCATCAAAGCGTTGCCTTCTGTTCGCTATAGAAATGGTAGATTTGCTATCGATCCTTTCCTGTGTAGAATCATCACCAGTGATATAAAGTGAGTTCTCTATAATTATATCGAACGAAAACGATATGAGAGTATTTAAAATTGGATAATGAGTTCCTCATCATATGACTGCTACTCAGTTTGATCAAAGAGTTGCACTCTGTTGCTCTTTTTATAATTCCCCATTTGATTTTGGTACGGATACTGTTTTTTTTTTTTTGTGTCTCCATATGTATTTTGATAGGGATGTATTTTTTGTGTATTTTTTCTTTCGAAGGACATTTTTTAGTTATAATATCTTTCTTTTAAGTTTTTTCTGTGCCGCCTCTGTAAACGTTTTTATCTGTGTTAATGTTATTAGTTACGATAGTTTTGTATATTATTGGTTAAACTTTTATGTTAAGTGGGCAATTTTCTTTCTGCAGTTACATTTGATGGTGTTATTTGGCTTGATGTTATTGTTGTTGTAATTATTGTTTTTGTTACGTATTTTTTATTATTTTCTTCTGTATGTTATCCATGCAGCTGTAACTAATTTTGATTGTATTTTATTTATAATCTTTGATAATTTGCTGTTTTGGGGGAAGAGTTTGAAGAATATTTTCCCTATTTTCGTTTTTATTGCATTGTTGTGGGTGTGGGGTGAACTAAATTATGTTTCTAATTCTGCTGTTTTTGTTTGACTTCTTTTCCTTATTGTATTCTAGTTTGTTTGAATATCCGATGTTTCTTAGGACTGATTCATATGTTTTTTCTTTTCTATGAATATTTTTAGGATACTAGAATTTGAAGAAATTCTTTTATTCACAGATATGGGTATTTGTTTGAATACGTTAGCGGTTGGGTGGAATTATACTATATATATATATATATATATATATATATATATATATATATATATAGTGAAGGGAGTATTTCCTTAACTTTCCAGTCTAATATATACGTGTTTGTGATTGTAGAGATATTTTGATAGAACAAGACAATTTGAATAAGTGACGGAGAGATTAATAGATTAATTTGAGGAGAAAGAAAGAAAGAAAGAAAGAAAGAAAGAAAGAAAGAAAGAGAAACAATTTCATGACATATGGAAGGAAAACGAGAGCGATTGGATGATGCTGGATAGAAGAGAAAGAAAAAGAAAATAATGAGGAAGATAGTTTGATTAGACGAAGAGAAGGTTGTCGCATATCAGAGAAAAAGTGATAGCAAAGAAAAGAAGATTTTGTGAGAAAGAGGGAGGGTAAAGTGTCACCGAGAAAGAACATTTTAACATCAACCGGTGAAATATAATGAAAGGTAAATAAGTTATTTCTTTCCTAAAAAGACAAGGCAAGCTGAAGAAGTAGCTCTTCAAAAACGCTACAGAGCTGTAATAATTCCTAAATGAGGTGAATCAGTACTCTTGGTGTTTACTCGCACCTGTAAGGAAACTTGGTATTATCCTTTTTTCTTTTTAATAAACAAGACGCGAATTCAAGAGTTTCTCAAGTGGGCCACTTTTTGCAAAACTCAATTCTAATAACGGCTTTAGTTTTCCTTAAATTCTTAGCTTTTTTGTATAGGCGCGTTGTATAGTTTCGGCGTAATGATATTATTAACCCATTAATGATCACTGTCCCAGATATTGGACGATGGACTTAATGTCTTACAGTTAGAAACCTATTATCACGACTGGTTCTTTTTTTTTTATAAACCTATAATTAATGTTGTTTTTTTTATTTTTATAATTAGTACCTGTTTTACCATGGACATTATGTAGTATTAAGTTGAATGATAGTCCTTGAAAAAGAAATATTGATGTCACTATAAAGTCAACACCATCCGTGGCTTATGGTCATATCACGTTGAAACACCGGTCCAGCTTGGTGCTGTAATCTTCGTTGTGTGGGTGATGTACTCGGAATTGTTAATCGGAGAGCTGAGTTCCAATTCCAGTCGGGCTCGCTATATTCATTTACGTGCAAATACTCTTGGGGAAGGTATGAATCCACTTCTTCCCCCCCCCCCAGATATAGGTTAATTAGTAAGATGCGTATCACTAAAACCATTATTACCTCCAAAAATAAAATAAAATTGTGTACAAAAATATATATTTAAATTTCGGCATTAAATAACCCATAGAGGTGTTGATATGCCGCTAAAAGAAAACAATCAACCAACCAACGCCATCCCCAATGAGTGTCACTTGAAAGTGACGGTGGGCGATCGACCGGGTTCGAACAATGACGATTTAACAAATAGATGGAACAGAAAGAAACTTTAAAATTTCAGGATTTGTTACTGGCTTTATTTGATCGGAGTAATTTTCGAAAAATGCCTACTCTTTATAAATCCCAAATTTGCTAAATAACTGCATTTGGTTAGTAACAATTGCATTATTAACCAATGACGATCCCTTATTTCCTGATTGTCAAAGTAAAACATACAGACTGTCGAAACTTGCTCAAATTTTATAAAAAATTCAGAAATTTAATGGTTAATATTAATTTCTAAAATACGTCATAGATATTTACATTGTCATTACAGAAAATTATTAATTCAAAAGAAGGAGCGGGGATAAAGTCATTGGACAACAATAAGGAAAACCGTAACTTTGCCTGCATTTCTAGTGTTCATATGTAGCCAATGTTAAAATACAATATAATTGTATTGTATGTTAATATTACAATTCTTAATCCGAATTTGATCGAATTTCTTGTCATCATTAGTACCGTATTCCCCGTAGGCAAAGACACTACAAGTGGCAAGACGCACCATATAATTACGTAGGTATTTTGGAGGAGAATATTTGAGGATTTTTAATAGCTTTAATAGTCCAAGTCACCGACTCTACGGTGTCATTTTTCTGTCACAATAAATTATCACATTTTATATCTATTATTAAATATTTGTTGCTATTATTAATTAGATTTTCAATAGTTTAGTACAATGCTATACCTATTCAAATCAGAAACAACTTGTAGTTGTCACCACAAGTCACAAGGTGTCTGAACACGGCGTTTTTATATCCACCTCCCAGCTGATGTTTCAGGGCTGCATTTAAGGGTGCAAACGGTATGTTGCATTTGCATTGTCAATACCAAATTCCGCTATTACTGCATGACTAGATTATTGACTATGCATTTGTATTATTACAGTAATTACCTAATTTAGTAAAATAGGAAATATAATAAATGCAGTATGTTTGTACACAGAGGCGGTGCCACCAGTTTTTATTTTCGCCAGTCGGAGCTTGTATCTCGTGACTGGGGTTCGTGATGGTTGGTACAATTATTTCTACATCATGACCTTTATGCTGGTTTAGCAGACGGGAAATACGATAATTCTTGACTAGTGTTTCTTTCACTCTTTGTAGGAACTTTTGAGTCTTTTCAATATTTACTTTAAGACCATTAAATAATAAATGGGAACTTTATGGTGAGATTTAAACACACTTCACTCAATCCTTAAAAGCCCAAAAGGGGTTCCATTTGCAGGTGAAATGGTTTACTTTCGCACAAATGACATTGGAAACGAATCCATCGCTTCTTCCCCTTCCACCAGCTATGCATTAAAATTCCGGGACAGACTCTTGATCCTTGGTTTGCTTTACTTTGCTTTACGGCTTATCAACCCCAATGTGTTATTTAATGCCGACAAGATTCTTATTGCTGTTAATATTTTTTCTTCAAAAATGTATTGCTGGTAATATTTTTCTTTTTCAAAAATATACTGCCGGTAATAATTTTTTCCAAAAATGTATAGCTGGTATTAAAATCTATTTTTACACTTTCATAGTGTTTTAATCCCAGTTTGGGTTAAAGAGTTCAGATCGAAATTTCAATTACCTGAAGAAAGCCGGAGCGTAAATCAGCCGAAACGCCGTGAATATGGCAAAAAAAAAAAAAAAAAAAAAAAATGAGGACAACAGTCCGAAGAATGTAAATAGTGTAATTAAATACAATTTCGTCCACCGGGGTAGATTATTCTAGTTTCACATGCCATGCCTCTTCCGGATGTCTCAGTTATCTTCCTGGCTACTGCAGTGGTGAACAAAAACTTGAAGAGTTGAGTTAAAAGGAGATAACAGAGACATCCAGAAGAGGCAGGGTACGTGGCACTAGAACAATCTACCCCTGTGGACGAAATAAAGGCTTCAGTTCGAAATTCCAATCACTTGAAGAAGGCCGGAGCGCAGGACGTCCGAAACGTCGTAAACAAGGGAAAAAAAGATGAAGACAACAGTCCGAAGAATGTATTTAGTATAAATAGATGTTTTGTATTTCTTATATGATATGTTCTTGTAAAATGGATTGGAAGAACAACAAAAGAAGGAAAAACAGAGCGAAAAAGTAAACAAGACAAGCGTAAAAATGAAAGAAAAAAGAAAGAAAAAAGTAAGGAAGGAAAATTGAGAAGAAAATCAAGAAAGAAAAAAATTGCAAATATGTTTGATTGAATAAGAAAGAGAGACAATGGACAATAAAGAAAAAAATGATAGAAATTAAAAAATAGTTTAAAAAAAAGAAAAAGAGTGAAAAATAAACGATGAAAGAACATGGAAACATCATGATGTAAAAAGAAAGTAGGAAAAATGAACAAAAGAAAAAATAACAATAAAAAGAAATGACAAAACGGAAAAAAAGTGACGTAAAAATAACGCCATGTGGGTTCACAGCTTAGGTTACACCAATCCTTGGAGCAACGTAATTTACATTTGTTATGCAGAGGGCAAACCCAATAGCGTCATAAAATGAAAATGTAGCCAGAAAGTCGGCGCAGTGACGTATTAGATACTACGAGATATTGACTAATTTGACCAACCAGACTGGAAACAAAGGTCATCTACTTAGTTAAACTTTTTATTTTATTTTATTTATTTATTTATTGTTACAATTTTTATAAAAAAAGAATGAAGTCATAAATGGTTATTTGAAAACCTTTTTATGTTGTCATATCGGGGGAAAGATGGATGACAAAGTGGAAAAAAAGTTTTCGTGCAACGCGTTTCGTCCTTTAGGACTTCATCGGACTAAATGATGTTTACGTTGATGCGACTACGCATGCGCACGAACGAGAGACGCTGTGAATTTTAAATTTACAAATATCCGTATGTGGCATTAGGAGAGTTTAATTTTAACTGATTTCATCAAAAAAGATCATTTTGTACACCAGCGTGGATTTTAGAAAACTTTAGAAATACTGCGCACACGTTCTGCGTTCTTACAAAAATAAAAAAACAATTCTAGTTCAATTTTCAGTCTTTTGTGATGTCAACGAACACCCGTTGCCGCTTTTGTGATATTAACGAACACTCGTTGTCAATTTTGTAATGCTCGTTGTAGTAGAGACTTTGTAATCGCAGATAGAACTATAGTATTACTCACACTAATAGCATTTGCTTGATAATACTCTCGAAAGTAACCACCGTATAGTGATCCGAATAGAGAAATAGTGAATAGAGTAGAGAATAGCGGCCCGTATAGTAATAGAGGATAGACTAGAAATGGCGATCAATTAGACACACGCTACCTCCCATATATGCGTTACCTCTATGGTCACATGCTCTACTTAATTTAATAATGGGATCGCCCGTGTTTGCTCACTGGTGATCTATGTTCAAACTCAGGTGTCGGCAGCGACACTTTATTCCTATATAACACAGCCCTTTTTGGAAATTGAATAAATAGTATTCATGATATATAATAGAATAAATCATTTAGGCAGATTGATAAATCGATTGATAGAGAGAGTGGGGCGAGAAATAGCGAGAGATAAAGGGAGAGTCTTCAGTTATGATCTTATTGCGAATTTTCTTACACCATGTTCAAAAGTGACTTCTTCGTTTATGTGCTGTAGCGTGGACAATCATGACTCTCCACAACTTCCCATTCTTTGTAACTCTAAATTTTTGTTCTCCTTACTATCCTTCCCAGTCCCTGTTCTGCTATTCATTCAAGTTCGTTGTGTAGATTACTCTATATTTTCCATTGAGCCTTCTGTCTTCATGAGATTGTCACAATCTTTAACCGTTCTTATGTCCCAGAAATGACGACTGTCTCTTTCTGATTCTAAATACAAATGCACTTTGTGCTTCCATTTACTTTAAAATTTCCTTGTTGACCACATGCTTCGTCCGTGCTATTCTCAGCATCCTTCTATGGAAAAAAACATAGTTCATGATGCGAGCAACGAACTGTAGGCTTTAGAATCGAACAAGTATAGAAATTTAACTATTTGGGAACATGATGGAAATGTGACACGTAAAGCCAAAATAACGAAATAGCTTCTAAAAGCTAAACAAATTATTAAGAAATTGAAAAAATCGTTAGAAACAAAGAACAGTGTTAAACTGCTATGTATTTATTTCCCAAGTAATTTCCATCTTGGGAAAGAAAAGTGATTCTCACTGTTACAATACATTTCTTGCCCCATTCAATTGTAATATATGAAAAAATATTTGTGAATATGAAAGGATTATGATCAAAATAAGCAGACATAATATTTGTAATTTATTCAATCAGACTTGCCTAAAAGAGAATTTGCTGCTTAAACATACGCGCAAGCGCACGCACACACACACACACACACACACACACACACACACACACACACACACACACACACACACATATATATATATTGTGTGCAGGTACATGCGTGTTTGTGTACTTGCGTTTTGTAATATTATACATGGTTGTCCGAAAGCCTTGTCACCCCCAACCAAAAAGTAATGAGAACAATAAAAGAATAAGTAATACAGTAATACAAAGCACATATACTACTGGATTCAGTTTATTCATTTGAATTGCCGCTGTCACACATTGAGAAGATTTGTAGGAGCTTCTGTCAGCCATCTGAAATAGAAAATTATATTATGTATGGGGTGACAAGACTTTTGGACCACTTTTGACAAACTCTTTGGCTTCAAATTAATTTTATTTCAGAGATGTTATTTGATATGATTCAAATGCAATGAAATTAAAGCTTTTACAAGTATGACGCTAACTGCTTGGAACGGCGGGTCGTTTGAGTAAATATATGATTACAAGCCTCTCATTAAATGAAATTTGTCCCTATTGTATATTTATGCCGTATCTTTGCTTTAAAGGTCAGAGTGGAGCTGGAAACAATTGGGCCAAGGGTCACTATACAGAAGGGGCCGAACTTATTGACTCAGTGCTTGACGTTGTTCGCAAGGAAGCTGAAAGTTGTGACTGCATCCAAGGTTTCCAACTAACTCATTCATTGGGAGGTGGAACGGGAGCTGGACTTGGGACTCTGCTAATTAGCAAGATACGAGAGGAATACCCGGATCGAATCATGAATACCTTTTCTGTGGTTCCTTCCCCAAAGGTAAGAAATGACAATTCTGGTTAATATTAAAACATTCATCATATTTAAATTTTTACAATATCTTCAAGAATATAATAAAAAATGAAATGTAACTGTTTTTTTTTTTATTATCAAGCATAGGTTTTTATACTCGTTATAGTTACAAAATCAGTTTAAGAATATGAAAAGAAGATACTTTTCGATGATCTCTTTTAGCACAGATTGCTTCTCCCTTGAGAAATATCATTGATTCAGACACAAAAGATCGTTTATAGATTTCATCTTTTAAATTAATTCAATGGATGTTATTTTGGGAAGAGACTTTGTTATAATTATAGAATTTTAAGAAACATGCAATGATTCCGTTAAATCATATGAAGTATCCGATATGAGTCAGACATTTAAGACGGATATGAAACAATGGAAATCAAAAGTTGTTGAAATAAAACGATTACATGATAAAAGACTTGCGTAGTTTATAATTCATAAAGAGACAACATTTGGATTTTCTTTGCAGGTGTCCGATACTGTAGTTGAACCGTATAATGCAACTTTGTCTGTTCACCAATTAGTTGAAAATACAGACGAAACTTATTGTATTGATAATGAAGCACTTTATGATATTTGCTTCCGTACGCTCAAGCTGACAACCCCAACTTATGGAGATCTGAATCACCTAATTTCCGCTACCATGTCTGGCGTGACGACTTGTCTGAGATTTCCCGGTAAGAAAGTTTTTATATATTAATCAAATATTTTTTACATTATCGCGTGATAGTTGTAAAAGTGGCGTATATCGTTATTTGTCATATACGATAGCCATAATCGAATTTGACGGATTTATATGAGATAAATTTTCTTTGATATTTAATATAAGGGTTTTCTTTTTCATTTGATTTTTAAAAAAAATCTTTTGAATATTTAAATGATTACGAAATTGATAATAATTCAGATGAAACTTATTTGGCTTTAAGAGTGAAAAGGGATTTGGTTTGACATATCTTCTCTAAATTATCTTTAGATAAATTCTCAAGTTCCGTAGTTGACAGTATTTTTACCTGCAACAAATTCTGCATTCAGATTTTCTATATTGCAAAGAAAGTACTCTTATCAGTTTCCAAGAAGGAAGTCCATATCCATCGCGGATAAGTTGGTATACTTGATGAAAGTGAATTATGCAGAACCAAATTCATTATTTACACTTCTATCTAAACATGGCGTACAAGATCAAACGACTTCTAGATGACAGTAGCTGTTTGTAGTGAAAACGGAATATTTTCCGTTCAGGTTCTATTTACTAGTTTGCCAACATCAAAACTGTTTTGCTTATTAATGCCTTGATGGTTAGAAAGTTTCATCCAAATAAACCACGGTTGAAAAAAGCTTAGTGAAACAGTGTAAATGTGAACAATCCCGTCATGCTGTTGGTTTCTACTTAGAAAAACTATGGCTAAATTAATGTAAGACGAACGTCTAGCCTTTTATTCTTAAATAAAAGGCGTTTTTTTAGTGCTCTATTGGTATACAGATACCATTTTACTCGAAGTGTAAATATGTATTTTTTTTGTTTGGTTTCATAATTTTTAAAATTGGGCAAAATTCTAGCACACGGTTCATAAGATGACTTCAATTCTGATTACCAAAATGTTCTAGACGAGAAATTAATAGAGAAAATTATTTCGGTCATTAAACATTCATCTTGATATAAAAGAAATTGGTAACAATTTGAGTTTTGAAGTAAAATTTTCTTGTTCTATTTTTTCAAACTACTTACTTTATTCATTTTAATTTTGTTCTTATAAAAGCTGCTAAAGCAAGAATATAAAAATTTGAACCTAGATATTGCATTTTTCGGAATATAAGAAGAATCGGTGTATACGACGCACTCTTATTTTGAACACAAAGTTTAGGAGAGAAAAAAAACCTACATTTATATTTGCAAGATTTTTATTGAAGAAAAATTAAATCTGATTCTTTAAAAATAAGTTCTAAACACAAAAGAGCTGAAAACATGAAAGTGTCTTAGACATAAAATACATCAGTTTTCGGTGACGCACCTGGCAGGAAGCAGGTGAAAAACTGTTGAAAATCTAATAAAAATTAAAAATACCAATTTGACGATTAACGAAGGCAATTAGATTAAGCACTCTGATTGGTCAAGTACAATTGAAATCCATATCATTGTTATGAATAACACATTCATATGAAATAAACTATGCATGCCTATTTAATTATAATTACACAAGGCAGTCTATATAATTTTGAGGCAAAAAGAATGTTTTGCAAACCGAAAAATACAGTAATATGTAATTTGGTATCGTAGCTCATATGGATGTACTGATTACAGTTTTGAGTGTCAAGGACAACTGATGTCTGCAGACTTATTGGCCTGATCTCGAACTAAACAAAATTTTAGTTATACAAATAGGAAAATAAACAAAGTATTTACTAAGTGAAGCATGGTATCTTTGCAATGTCAGATGTGTATTTGTGTAAATAAAACAGGCCTGTCTGTCGTCAGAGCTGTCACTTTCTCCAGATGATTGCATCTAGTTTATGTTGTTCGCTTAACAGCATATTTAAAAGTAAAAGCGAGAATCATGCTGGGCTTGACGAGATAAAGTCATGTCTGAACAAGATCGAGGCTAAGATTTAATTGCAGCTCACTTTGAAATTGTGTCACTTGCCATCTTGATCTTAAAGATCAACTGAGGAATGAAATTTTAGTCCAGTGATAAAACTGGTTTTTAACTTAGAACACACACACACACACACACACACACACACACACACACACACACACACACACACACACACACACACACACACACAGAGAGAATGTGTGTACGATTAAGCCTGTGCGCGTTCAATAAATAATAAAGTATAGGATACGGGCATATGTATTTTTATACATATATAAGCATTTATTAAGATAAAGATATTAGAATTTTGTAGACCGAACCTAATAAATAATACTTAGAGCAATACATGCGTATGTATATATATATATATATATATATATATATATATATATATATATATATATATATATATATACAAGTTTCGTTAAAATCGATTGACAAGTTACTGCGGTTAAGTTATTTTATATAATTTTTCTTGTATTCTTATAATTTTTTTCTTTACTGGACATAAATTATGTAGAAATTGTCCAAATCTATCTATATTTCTGAGATAAGGTATTATGTACATTATTTACATTATTCGGACGATTGTCCTCATCTCTGTCGCCATATTTATTACAACGTTTCGGCCATTGTACGCTCCGGCCTTCTTTAGGTGGTTGGAATGTCGAGCTAAACCCTTTATTTCGCTCACTGGGGTAGACTGTTCTACTTCCATTATAGACATGGCACGTGGGACTAGAACAGTCTATCCCAGTGAGCGAAATAAAGGGTTCAGTTCGACAGTCCAACCACCTAAAGAAGGCCGGGGCGTGAAATAGCCGAAACGTTGTAATAAATATGGCGACAAAGATGAGGACAATAGTCCGAATAATCTAAATAATTGTCCGAATGTTCCGTAGGTCGGTACGCTTTCGGCTATAATTTTTAGCCATTATCAAGGATAATTTTATTTTTATTTTTAACTAAATGTATGGATATTTTATGCATGTATATAGAGTTATAGGAATGTTTTATTTTACAAACACGGTCAGCACATTGTGGCCGTGTTCATAGTTGATATTTCTTGGGTGTTGTCTTTTTGTTTTTATTAAAAATGCTTCCATTATTTTAGCCTTTTTACATGTGGATGAGGCTATTATATTTGTATTGTCTTCGATTATGTTGTGAATAGAGTTTGGTAGGTCTCCGTATGTATTTAAATGAGACCTAATTGATATATTGTCAATGAGATATAACGTCATACTTCTTGTGAGACATGTTGTGATATGACCAAATATAATTATCCATAGATTTAGTTTGAATAGGAACACAGTTCCTTAAGGGACATGTAAATTCGTAAATAATATTGGTTCTCTGTAATTTGGATCTTGTAGGTGAATTATTGTTGTTGCCGATGACGTTAGCAGTTTTATTTTTTATAGTAGATAATTAATTTCTTGTTTTTGCCGACTGCAATTGTATATTTCTTTATAATGTTTCTAAGGGAAGAATCATCCAGCTTATATATATATATATATATATATATATATATATATATATATATATATATATATATATATATAATAACTTGAACTGATTTTAAATATGAATTAAGTTTGTTGTCTAATAATTTTTTTTTTTTTTTTCAGATTTAACAACTTAAGTCTTTGTCAATTTCAACCATGGAAAGATTAACAATCAAACAACGTGTTAAAGTTTCAATAGTGCAAATGGAAAAATTGTTCGTAAATTCAAACCAACTGAGTCGGTGGTAGATGTTAAAACACCATTGCGTGTTCGTTTACACCGTTCAGCTGAAAACATTGCTGCAGTGCACAAGAATGTGTCCGAAAATCCAGCCCCCCTCTATTCGTCATCGCGCGCAGGAATTGAACCTCTCCACAACAGCGTTGCATCGTTTTCAATTGCACTCTCGGTTGGTCGATTATGGTGACCAAAAAAATCGTGAAGTGCGCGAAATGCATTTCTGTTTAAACGTCAATTTTCGTAATGGGCTTCGATAACTTTAACATATTGTTTGATTGTTAATCTTTCAATGGTTGAAATTGCCAAAAACTTAAGTTGTTAAATCTGAAAGAAAAAGAAAAAAATTCATTAGCCACTTGAACTTAATTCACATTTAAAATCGGTCCAAGTTATTGGAACAGCCTTATTTACTGTGCATTCGATTTTTATAAATAATGTAAATGTTATTGTTTTCATCTCTATGTTCAGTGTTGCTATTGATTACCTTAGAAAGAAAAAGGCTAATTTGGTAATATATGAGGTAATTATCAAAATAATTCTATGGTAGCCAATATAAAAAGTAAAAACATTAAATTGTTTTTAACAACTCTCCTTACTTTCATGATATTAAAAAGAAAATATTTAAATCTGTCAGTTTTGATTAAAGCATAAAAGTTAATACATTTGCATAAAAATAAGTTAAAAATTCTGAATTCTATTGAAGATTGAGAACCTGTCTACAATTCATGGTTCAATCAGTACATTTTTGTTTGCAGTTAGGTTCAATTACCTCCCCTTATTGATAACCAACATTTTTAAAAATGATAGATCGTTAGCCTAATATATTTGATAGGCAATTACAGAGATGGGGCGTTTAAAATGGAAAACCCATCCTCTGAACTCAACGTCCACTAGAAAAAATAATTTAAAAAGCTGGAAAAAATAGAAAAGAAAACTAACAGTAATTACGCGCGGCAATATTTCCTTTTGTTACAACGAGTTTGATGTATCCGACTGACGTATTTGCACAAGTAAAGTAAATACGTGTTCCTTATCACTTCTAATCCGCAGTATTCTTCCATTAACGAAAAAAACTTTGAGGTTACTTTAAATGTTTCATCCTTATTCTTTTTGAAAAGTTAATTAAAAACGAGTTTTGGGATACATCCCACTTTGACCGCTCATTTAGTAAAGCCAATGTATTTAATTCAAAGTATACAGTATCAAATATATGTATGACGGATTACAACTGCCTCAATTATCCAGCTTCATTTTCTCATATGACTCACAGAGACATAAAAACAAATAATGTTAAAATTATCCAGAAAGAGATTCTAATAGTATTTTGAGCAAAAAAACTGGCTCCTCGGTCAATGAATGCCAAAGGTTTCCTTATAAGGAAACGGATAATATTACCATTCCCATTACGATCAAATAAAAAGATATGATTTACACAACACTTCATATTTGTCTATCCCTTGAAAGTATTCCTAACATTATGATTAAATGTATATTTACAATCCGCATGTATTGTCTTATTTTATCCAACATTTATTTGCTTCTATTTTTATTATTTAACACATTAATAAGCATATAAATAACTTCTAAATTCCGAGGACAATAAGAAATATTAACTTTTTGACGTCTTATTTACACTATTTATATTCGAACTATTGCCCTCGTCTTTGTTGTTGTTATCACAACGTTTCGGCCGGTCTGCCCTCCGGCCTCCGTCAAGTGTATATCGATTTAGGTAACTTACAGGCAATTCGCGGACTGAGCCCTTTATTTATATTGACGTCTCGTTCATTACGTACAAGTCTGTATTAGGTGTCATATTTATTAGGATGGAAATATTAAATTTAGCTCTCATTCTCAATGATCGCTGTCGTAAAAGTGCCAGATATCATGTAGTGTTGATCTATCTATCTATCTATCTATCTATCTATCTATCTATCTATCTATCTATCTATCTATCTATCTATCTAAGTCTCTTTCTTTCTCTCTATCGAAGTCGCTTTCTTTCTTTCTATCCTTATGTGTGTGTGTGCGTGTGTGTGTATGCGATTTTTGATGAAGCTACATTTGAATATACGTGCAGTTTGCTATTCAAAATATGGTAATCAGTCTTTAGGATTCTAGTTTGAAGCTGTATAATGGCTAAGTGTTTGACATCTCTCACCTGGATATATTTCAGATTTGCCTTGATAAAATCACTCATACATTTGAACAGACAGACATTCACACATTCACACACTTTGCTCTGTTCATCTAGTCATTTGTCGTACCTTTCAAAAATGCTGCATCATAAACTTCCAGGACGGCAGTGAAGAAGATGACATCCTTTTTGAGGAAGACAAGATGATTTTGTGGACGACGACGAGACCGAAGTTAGAGATGACATCGCATACGTTGACAACATAAAACTCTCGTGACGTCAAACCCAGTCACTTTTCAAGGGAACTACAAAACAGTAGACAACAATATCCACAATATGTGCACATCTATACTGATAGTTCCAAAGACAGCGATAGAGTGAGATGTGCAGTTATTTTTAATAATACAACAATTATAAAACGTCTTCCAAATGAAGCCCCTATATACAGTTGAAGCCAGGGCGATAGATATAGTCATCAACGAAGAAAAGAAAATCTTTAAAATTTACCATCTTTTCTGATTGCATATTAATAACTATCAAAAACAAAAAGCTGGAAATTCCTTTCATAGCTAAAATATTGGAAAAATCTATGTCATGTCTAAAAATCTGTTCATCTGGATTCCTAGCCATATAGGAATGGCAATGATAGAACAGACAAAAGCGCTAAACGGGCATTATGACTACTTCCTGAAAAATACCAAATCCCATAAACTGACCTAAAACCATTAATTATGAAACATAAAAAAATTAATGACAAGAACAGTAGAGCAGAAAAACGCAAAATAAAGTAAATAAAATCTTACCAACCCCCAAGAAAAAAACCTGCCTTTATGGAAAAACAGGAAGGGAAGAGGTTATTATAACACGACTACGAATAGGTCATACTAAAATTATGCATTCATTCTTACTGAAACTAGAAGAACCACCATGGTGTCCTATAGTGCCAAACCCACTAGTTTCTAATTGAACGCATTTATCTTGACTCTAAAAGACACAGTTTCAAAGCAAACAACTTAAAAGAACTATTTGAAAATATTAAAATAAATAGACTTATAATATTCAGTTAGATTATATCTGAAAAAAAAAACAAACAAAACAAAAAATTTCCATTTTCCCCAAATATAAACTAAAATAAATCAGTTTTGGTATAAAATGACTCTAAAGACTTGACTCTAAAGACTTGATATGACGTTAAAATGCAGTTAAATTTAAACTTTGACACTGAAAGCAGTGATGCAAACTAAAATATACTTATTTTCCATGTGCAGAGTTTGGTTAGGGATTTAAACGCTTTCTTATACATTACTTAATTTGGACAATTAATATAACTTATGGCGTATATACCGATACGTTTTACAATAATGTTCACACTATACAAGGCCCAAGTGCCACTCAAGATGGAGGGTTAAAGATTAAGAGACACAGTTTATAGATATATGTGCGGAACATTACGATTAACCTTCGATTTGAACAGATTAAGATTGTAGTAATCGGGTAAGCCTCCTCTTGGGATTAGGTTTCACAAAGTAGCGTTATGTAGGAAGCTGCTACTCGAGTGGAACTTACATCTCACCAATGGAATTCGAAAGGAATGAGGGTGATTAGTTACAATGTGTGTGGCATGGTGGGTTTTAGCCGTGAAGGTTACGACTGGTGGAACTAACGAATGTAGATCGTCTGAACACTTTCCATGGAAATAACAACAGAATAACGAGAGGATTGCTATGTTTGATCTGTGAGAGAAGGGGTGGGGGTTGTTCAGTGGAAAATAATTCATCACTTACAAGGCCGCGCAGACGTGACTGAAAAACCGTTAATATATTTTATTATGTACAATGCAAAAACATATACGCGAATAATTACGGTAAACTTATCTTAATCTGCTCCTATATTTCTTTTTTGTATATTATAATCTTCCATTTGTTTATACTTGACTCGGTTGATAGACTATTAATGTCGTTAGGTGTCTGTCTGTTAGACTAAATTATATACATTTCTGTATTGACAAAATACGTGCACATATAAACACTGATGCTTGTGTATTCGATGCGAATTTTTAACTGCCATTTTAATCCAGACTGTGTTGCATGACATTTTCTTCTATCAGTATAAATCATCTTAATACAAATAATTATCGAATGCGTTACAAATCATAAAAAACAAATTCTTGGCACAAATTTGTGTTGTCCTGGAAAGCACATTATACTAAATGGCTAAAAGGGTAATAATTCGGTTTATTAAGCAAAAAGAAACGACATTTTCCTTTTTGGCCATTAAAGTCATTGAACAAAGTATTTACTATTGCGTCATTGTATCTTCTGTTATCTTCCAGGCAAATTTATAATTAAAACTTTATTTTTAAGCGAAGATATCCTTTAATGCCTTTTGCAGTCTTTTAGAGAAATGAATTTTTTATCCTTAAAAGAATTCTATGAAGACCTGAATAAATCGTAATCCGAAGGTAAAATATCTGATAAATGCGACAGATGAAGTAAGAAAAAAATCCTAGCAAAAGTTTTCCAGAAGAATAGACCTGACATTCAGCCAAGAAATTTGTTCTCTGAAAGAAAATTCCAAATATCCCATCAACATAAAGAAATAATCTTTTAATGAACTGTGATAGAATCGTTTTTTTTTAAGCAGGACAAGAAACCTTTATTGAACACACCCCTCAAAAAATCCTTCAAAAGCAGATGACATTGATCCAAGATTCAAGACTATGAAAAAAATGTAAGAGGAAAGTTCTTCTCTTACAATTTCTCTATTCTATCTATCTATCTATCTATCTATCTATCTATCTATCTATCTATCTATCTATCTATCTTCCAAGAAAGAAAGACATATTCTTAATACATTAATAATTGTTTATATTTATTTTTATCATTCATCAAATACTATATTATAATAAAAAGGGATAGGTAATTTCAAGCTGTTGAGAAGAACGTAACTTTTCTAAAAGAGATGCTGAAAAATTCTCATTCCAACTAAGTAACCTTACCCTCCACCCTCCACAAATTCTGATGCTTGGTAATTTCGTCAGATAACATTGGCATAACCATTTCCTAGAGCAAGCGCACATGTTTTTAGCAGAAGATCCAAAAACGTAATGCAAGTTACTTGTCCTTTATAAAGAGACTTAAAAAAAGAAGGAAATACATTGATTTAGTTGAAGAAATGGAATCAATATAGTGTCAGTATAATTTAAATATGCTATTTTTAAATATGAACACTATAGTTTATAGAAATATGAGAAAACCGACGGGGAATATTGATTGAAGAAGATTTCTGATTCGTGTTATATTTGAAAAATTTCTTTTTCATGACAATCATCCTTCTGTAGAACCACATGTCAATTGCCTTAAATTTCGTTTTGTTCTATGAGAAAATTGACCAGTATTCACTGTCATATAGAAATAGAAATATTACATAGTATTTCAGGACAATAAACTACATCCAGCAGCAGGTCCTGTGATCAGAAGCTTTTGGGGAGCCTGGAAGCACATTGCAGTTGTTCCCAGGCTCACTCTGACTCGGAGTAGCAGCAATTGTTAGGGTCCCAGCTATGGGCAAATAGTGAACCTCCAGACAAAAACAACATTGTGAAAGTGGAGGAATACATTTTTGTAGTAAAAATACCAGTAATACATTTTTATAGCAATAAGATCATCAATACATTTTATCTGTAGTTGAAGCCATAAAATGGTATTCAAAATATTTAAATTCCGGCATTAAGTACAAGTTGATATGACGCTAAACAAAATCAACCAATCACAACTACATAGCATTTCAACACTCTTTGTTTCTAACGAATATTTCCTTTTTTTAATACCTGGTTTAGCTTTTAAAAGACATCTTTCACTCTTCCAATCAGCCATCAGATTTCAGTATCACATTTTCCGTTGTCTGTTAAAACAATTCCTTTATGCCTAAATTTCTGTACTTGTTTGATTTTGAAATTTCTAAGGTCTCCTGCTGATTCCATTGTGTGTCTACCAAAAAATGCTGCTAAGGGGCAATTTAACATATACAATAGTTAGCCAGCATGTTTCGCTAGATCAATTACGACTGAGTAGTGACTTCAATCCTCACTGGGTGCTCCATACTTACAGCCTTGTGCCACACCTAAGCTATGCTTAGTAAATCACTATATTATGTTGCATACTTGTTTCTTCATGAACTGAAAACTGACAAGTAGTGTTTCAACACTTGTGTTCGTTCAGAGATAATGATTCGCTAAGCGTAGCTTAGTTGTGGCACAAGGCCGAAAGTTGGAGCACCCAGTGAGAATCAAGGCCAAAAATATGGAGGACTAAAAACATGTGCGCTTGCTCTAGGAAATGGTTACGCCAATGTTATCTAAAATCTGACGAAATTACCAAGCATCAGAATTTGTGGAGGGTGGAGGGTAAGGTTACTTAGTTGGAATGAGAATTTTTCAGCATCTCTTTTAGAAACGTTACGTTCTTCTCAACAACCTTTTTAGGACAATGAGGACTGATCTCACTACTAAGTTGTAACAGATCTAGCGAGACAAGCTTGCTAACCATTACACCACGTAGAAGTGCCTAGAGATAGACAGATAGATAGAAAAAGACAAAGAAAGAAAGCAAGAAAGAAAGAAAGAAAGAAAGCAAGAAAGAAAGAAAGAAAGCAAGAAAGAAAGAATGGAAGGCAGAGGGTTAGATACATAAGGAATATCAAAAATACTTTTACAAACTTTGGGGGCGGCTTCCTCACACCAAAACAAGGACAAAAGTCCATATAAACATATGAGTTATTAAGTTTAAAGAAAGTTTACGGTAGATGGTGCTGTGTTGCCATTAGATTAGGTTACATTTGTCATTCGTGTATATTTGTGGCTAGTCTGTCGTCAACGTTTAATGTGTGTAGTAGTGAGTTACTTGAGAAGCATTCCCTTTAAGTATATTCATATTGTGAGTAGGCAGATTTATATACGTAAGCTCGAATGGTAAGGGACAGCTGTATCAGATTGCGTTTCTAGACCGAAGGCAGCCGAGTCATTCAATCTTGGCTGCTGTTTAACGTCGCGTTGCTGAGTTAGGATCCGTGGCACTAAAAACTATGGATCAAAGAAAACAGAGATCCGTTCGTACGCCTGACTACGAAGAACATATTCTATAGGCTGACGATACAGGTATCAGCAAACGCCAATTTTATATGGACGTTTGACCTTATTTTGGTGTGAGGAAACCACTTCCAAATTTTGTAAAATTAATTTTGATACACCCTGTATATGCTTGGCGGGAAAAAAGAGAAAAAGAAAAAAGACCAAACAGAGAAGAAACGATTGCCATTTTTGAATTTTCTGCCAAATCTGATAAATCTACCATAATCTTCCCAAAGGATCTTGAAAAATCTTCAAAATAGAATTGACAAAGAAAGAAAAAAGAGATGGATTGGAAGATAAAACAATAATTCAAGTATACACAGATATGAGGGTTGATTGATAAATAGTATCTCCAGTCTGGTTTTAAACCAGATAAAATAATGAAGAGGAGAGAAAAATGAGGGAGAAAAGGAGGAAGAGAAAAAGAGGGAAAACAAAGAAAGAAAAGAGAGAGAGAGAGAGAGAGAGAGAGAGAGATCGAAGGATAGCAAAGGAGGGAGAGAAAATAAGGGACGAGAATAAAAAAATAGATAAAGAAAAGCAAGGAGATATAGAAAGAGTGAGAGAGAAAGAAGGAGAAATAATAAAGGAGGGAGAGAAATATGATGATATATTTCTATCTCTTGACGTTGCTATGAAAAGAATTATAACAAGATCATTTTTGAATATTTAACAACCAACCTGATTAAATCTTGTCTTGCTTTCTATTTTCCCATATTTCTCACAATTCCTTGTTTATCATTCATTCTTTCTCTATATCCATCCAATATATGTAGAATTTTCACGATGAGGAATTATCATCATAATTATCCCTTAATATTAGGATCAAAATGCTCATATTGGTTTTATTATCACATCCTTTCGGTCGTTATCCGTTTCAGCCTTTTTCTGGTGTCTTTCATATTCTAAGCATGGCAGACGAAATGAGAACACTCTACCTTCATGCATATAAGGTTCGATTCAAAATTACCGTGAGGTTACCGAGTAGGCTGATAGATGCCTGAAAAAAAAATGCCCGGAAAGTACAACGGTCCCAAACCTTATGTGCATGACCTTCATCATATATCGATCTGGGTAACCTACAGGGAATTCTGAACTGAACACTTTATTCAATATACGGTAGTAGAGTGTTCTCGTTCCACTGCGCATGTCTAGAGATGTCTTATTTTTAGTACTGCTCAGTTATTATTTAGTTCTTATATTTAGTACTACTCGTTTTCACAGAGCCCAAGTACATACTGCTCGGCCCAGTAATTGAACTCACGTACGAACGCTTTTTACTGATGATCATGCATTCTTTCTTCTTGTAGTTTATACTTAGTCCTTTCTTCTGGCTCTCCTTCGCTTCCTTCTGTAGGAGGTTTTTGTAATTTCTTTTCTGTATCTGCTATCATCTACGTATCTTAAAGAATGTTGTAAAATAGTCAATCACCTTATCATCTATAATATAAATATTTTGCTATAAATCAACGTAATATAATTCTTGCTTTTCGTACCGTAGTGATCATTTTTTCTTCTCGGGGTAGGAGTATCGAAATACAGATTTGGTTGCCAACACTCATTTAGTTTCAAATTTCATCTGACCACCTATGACGGCTAGGAAGGGATAATGTTGGTCGCTTGTTTATACGGTATTATACTGTAATGTATTCATACGAATACATAAATCGCGTCACCAGATTATGTGCTCTCATCAACCATGTGGGAAATTGCGCATTGCAATTTTGAAAGGAGCAAAGAAAAAATGAGCACCAAAAGCGTACAGAAATTGAAAAGTCTTGATCAGGTAAAGAGTACCAAATAATAGAACTAACAAACACTTACAAATTTTTAATAACGTAGAGAAATAATTGCCATTAGATATTTCTTTAATGTTTTGCAGTGATACTTAGAAGGGTTGGAAAACATTTGCAAGGGTAATGGCAACTTACCGAACGTAGCTTAGATATGACACAAGGACGAAAGTATGCAGCTCCCAATGAGGAAGGAACTCACTACACAGTCGTAATTGATCTAGCGAGACAAGCTTGCTAATCATTTCATCACGTCGAAGTGCCCTATAAAGTAATTTACTCAGCCCAGAATCTTATAAACCAGCTCTTGAATATAAGACCAACAAAATTCTATACTCGACACGTTCATATTTGAAAATAAACTTGTGAATGAACCAGTAGTAAGGTTGTAAAAGAAGTAGTTAAAATATTATTGATTATTAACAACTTGTGTTAAAAAAAACCATTACTATTATACTGCATTCAAAGATGTGATTTGCATAGCTTCCTTTCAATAGATTTAAGTCTAAGATTGGTATTGTCGGTAATAAAGCTGTCAAAACTAGAAAAATAATCAGAATCTGCTATAAAATGTAGTGAGACCCCAGTTGTTTTCCCTTGGATTGAGCTCATGGCAGTTTTGGCCCCTTTTAGAGAGTAGAACTCTTCTGTACTTTTTTGTCTTTGGCTTCCATTCTTGGAGGAACGACCTCTTTACCTTCCTGACCACCAGGGTGTCAACACACGTGGAAACTTGTCAACATTTGCACGGCCTAGCAAAAGAAAAAAGTACTTTCTATTCACTTATCTGCGGACGATCAAAAGCCATAAAGTTGGTATGTTATTTCTTTGTTCTCATTCTGTAAACCTCCTCGTTCCTTTGGGACAATATGGACAATCATTTGTTTTGGGACAAGTGCAAATCTTTTGAATATATGTACGTAAGTTGTTTGCCATA